TGATTATAGTATAACCTTGGTTTCCCAGTGGGTATAATCTAAAGACTCAAGATTTAAGAGCATTCCAAAATTATAATACAGAAGAGCAATCCTAAAACAACTTGGCCTAAATGAGAATTCCAGTGGCTTGCACTGAGAGCCTGCTGCTGCCTGGAGCTGGCCTGCTGTGGGTGGGGCTCACAGCCTGAAGACCCCCACTGGCCTTTGACCCCAGGCTCCAATGCTTCTAGAACACTTCCAGTAGGAAAGGTAAAGGGAGGGTTTCTAATGAGTCAAAGTGAAGATGACTGCTATGCTTCCATCACCTTCAAGGTATTCAAGGTCATTCCTTTTATCTGTCACACTTTAGCTATTTAAAGTGATAATTTCCCTATAGTTACCCCATAGGGTTCAAAAGATGTGCCCTCACAGGATCATCTAGTGAAAGAAAAAGTGGTCTGTCAGTTATGACTGGGACCCACATTGTCGAGGCACTGCAGAATTTGGGGGGAATTCTTTTGCTCACATTAGCAAGTGACTGTAAAACTGGATCCTCAGAAAGTATTTATGGAAATATATATTCCATTTGGCAAAAGAAAAAAACTTCATGCCTGACAGATTCTAATGGTTCTTTCAGGCAACAGAGAAATTCCCACACTAGTAACATGTCCCACCAGGCACAGGTGGCACTGAGAGTGCTGGTAGCAGCAGTTAACTTCCTCTGACTAGCTACATACACTCGTCCCACTGGGCTACTGAGTTTCTGCTCTGATATTCCAAGATGACTGGGTGTTTACCAGGTCTGACTGCTTTACAGCATCAACCAACAGAAGAAATCCCTCATTTTCTACAGTCAGATGCTTCTGCTCAGTTTCAGTGTAACCTGATGTTGGTAAACTACTCCAGTTTCATTCTCTACAGGCGCGGAGGTCGCCTTTTATTTAAAGGCCCACTAGTTTTATTTGTATGTTCCCCTCCTTTCTAATCACTAAGGAAAACTGTAAGTTCAGATCTTACAAACAGAATGACTTGAAGGCATTAATGATGCTTTGTCCCTTCTCTGGTGCAGCCTCCAAAGGTTTTTTGGCTTTGGCTTTCATAATTTCCTTGTGCTACACACAAAAATAAGACTCATTCCCTCTAAAATACAGAGTACGGAGGAAAGCAGAGACACTGTTCTTTCAACAAAAATGTTCGTGAAAGGACAGACAATCCAAATAAAAAACCCCACTCCATTAAACTGGGTAGGGCCAATCCTGTATTAAAAAACAAAAACAAAACAAAACAACAACAACAAAAAACCCCTTTGGTTCATTTAGTATTATTGTTGTACTGCTTTTGTGCTAGGACTTTACTCCCACTTAACGAATTCCCCCTTCTCATAATTTCCCTAGTATTATGTAAGGTTCCATCTATTCCTAGATTGTGAAATTTCTGCATTTTATGCTTGTACCACCCACCTAAAAACTCACAAATGCTGCCTCTATTTCATGTTCTGAGTGAAAACACACAAAACAAAATAAACACAAAAAACACAAACCAAACAAAACACACCACATCGTTTGGATAATGATCCAAATGGAAAAGTTAATGTGCTGTAATGACATTTGTTTTGCAACATCAAGAGCAGCAGAGATACTGAATATAATTTGCTTAAATCATAAATACTGAGATTGAGATATGCACGTATAAATCACATGTAGGCTCCATGAACTGAAAGCTCTCTATAAATACATAGAAGTCTATATAAAGTGCAAAACCAGCAAGATCAATGTGAGATCTCAGGAATTTTAGTACTCCCACTCATCAGATTTCAGGTCGAGATAGCTGAGGATGTTCTGGGCGAGCTTCACAGCCTGTTTCCTGGCAGCCTTACACTTCTCTTCTCCCTGCGGGTCCACAGCATCCAGGGCCAGCAACTGCTTGGTCAGCAGCTCCTCCAGCCTGATGTAGTTCTTATCGGATCGATTTCCATCAAAGGAGAGGACTTCCCCCTGGATCTCCGACAGGTTTCCAAGAACATTCCAGACCGCCTTATGTGATGGGTGCTCCTCACAAGCAAATAGCTTCCTTTTTTCAAGGGCTTCCTTTAGGTCAACATACGTAATCAGAGTTTGCACTTCAATCACCGCTCTTCTCCTGGCTTCCCGGATGCAGGGATTTTTTTCAAGACTCACCTCATCCAGCTGTCCAATCAAACCCTGCAGTTCTGTCTTGGAGCTCAGGTACAATTCAGGAGGACTCTGAGGTTGGAGAAGTTCATTTTTTATTTCTCTCATCCTCTTGAGGACCTTTTCTATTTTCAAAATGGAATGGTTCTGACCCAGGTCAAATGCATACGTAGTATCGGCTTCCTCTTCTAAATCCAAATACTTCAATAATTTGTTGATATCTTCGACTACCTCCCTCCGATAATTTCTGATTTCTGTACGCCCACAAACATCTAAAGCATCCAGATCAGCAATCAGGCCTGAGAGCACACATGATAAGTGCCTGCAAGTCTCAGTACTGTCCACTCCCATCAGAAGTGCAATCAGAGTGCCTCTGGCCTTGTTCACCTCGCACATCACAGAGTTGATTTTGGCGACAGAAGGATGTGCATCCTCAGAAAGCGGCAGGGAAGGCTGCTTTTTCATGCAGTCTTCAATAATCTCTTGCACAGCACAGATTTTGGTTAGAGTATGATACCTTGCTTTCCGTAAAGAGATCTTCCCTCCAGTTTTAACATGTGTCAGCCTCAGAATGATATCCTGGAGGCCTTCCTCAAATTCATCAGTCACACAGTTGCCTCCGCTGTAAAAAGGCACGATCTTCTCTTTTACAAGGGCTTGGGCTTCCTTAAAGATGTTCTGTATTTCGATACGGTGTGGGTGGTTTGCATTCTGCTCCAACTCTTTGAGAAGGCGTTCTGTCTCCTGTGCTGCCCTCTTCCTAGCCTGCTGAATGTCTCCTTTTCCTTCTGTATCCACAGAATCTATTTCAAAGAGTTGTTTTGTTAGAATCCTCTCCAGTTTCTTATAATTCTTGTCATCTGACAGACCACTGAAGCCGATTACTTGCTGTTCTATGCTTTTTACTTCCTTTTGGATTTCCTGAAGCCTAATAATAGAAGGATGTTGGTTTCCCATATCCATACTTTTGTAGTGTTCAGTTTCACAAGCACTAAAAGATAATAAGAAAAATAACATTATAGCACAAAGTCTCTGAAAAATGAAAATCATATTAATTCATTCCACAATTCTCATTTTTAAAGGACACACTTAAGTTGCCTGGTGTGGTGGCTCTTGCCTGTAAATTAAAAAAGGTCTTATCACTGCGATCCAATAGACACTCAAGTACAGAAGGGGAAATGACTTACCAAGTCCCTATCCTGAAAATACCTGGTGTGGTTTTGTTTTGGTACCAGGGATTGAACCCAGGGATGCTTAACCACTGAGTCACCTCCTCAGCCCTTTTTTGTATTTTATTTAGAGACAGGGTCTCGTTAAGTTGCTAAGGCTGGCCTTGAGTTTGTTATCCACCCACCTCAGCGCTCGGCAGGACATGGTTTAAAGAACAGCAGTTACTCAGAGTCCAGTCTGAGCTGGGGCTCTGGGTCTGTGAATTTCGAGTTTCTTCAACCATAGAGGCTGCATTCGGACTTCATAAACTCAACTGTTGCCTTAGGACCAGCAAAAAGTCTTCAGATCGTAAGCTGTTTTGGGATCCGGCAGGGGCCTCCAACCCCCACAGGACCCACCCCTCCCACGTTTCGGGAGTCACCGGGCAGGAGCAGGCCCAGCCCTGCGCCCTTCCGCACCCCTTCCGCACCCCTTTCGCGTGTCCAGCCCTCCCCTGGGCTCCTCACGCACCTCCCGCAGAGCGCCGGGCTGCACCGAGGGGCGGCCACGCCGAGCGCACGTCGCGGGCTCCCGGGCGGCCCTCCGGGCCGTGGCCACGCTCCCCCTACCCGGCACTGCGCGCTACCGCCACTCGCCGCCCATCAAAAGTCCGCAAAGGCCGGGCGCATCTCCCCCGCTTTTGGGTTTCGGCCAAACGACTCACTCGAGGACAGGCAACCGAAGCCCGGCCCGGGGGCACCGGGCCCGGGCAGGCCCCCCGCCCGCCCCCGCCGCGCTTTACCCCGAGGTCTGGGCAGCGGCGGTCTTGGCTGCCGCGGCGGGCGGCGAGGTGGCAGACGGCCCTTCACGGGGAGCGGCGCCGGATCGCGGCCCCCAGCTGCATCCCCTCGCCCCTCCCGGCTAGGCCTGACCCGGGCGGCCGGTGAAGGGGCCGGCGGCGGCAGCTACTGGCCGCGGCGGCCGCTCCCCGCGTCTCGGCCAGGCCCGCCGCCCGCTGCCTGACCTCACAATAGGCGCAGCGCGGGAGGCCCGCGCGCCGCCGTACGGCGCTCACCTGTGCCGCCGGCGCCATCGCGCTCCGTCGCCTCCACTTCCGTCAGCGCCACCGCGGCCCGCCCCTCCCCCGGCCGAGCAGCACTCAGCCCGAGGAAAGCCCGTGGCACCGCCCCTCCAGCTGCACCACCCTCGCAGCCGGTCGGTCCGCGGGGCGTGCGCATAGTCGGCCGCGCCGCTCCCTACCTAGAGCTCGGCGGACCTGCCGTAAGGCAGCCCCGCGCGCCGTCGCGACTCTGTCGTACGGCGCGGGAGCCGGCAGGCACGCACCATGGCGGCCGCGCGGCGCGCTGTGAGGGCCTTGGGCCCCCCTCTCTGCCGCGCCTTTGCGGGCCACGGCCGGCGGCTTGCCCCGGATCGCGGCGCCGAGCGCGGGGACGTGGCGCCGAGCCGGGTAAGCGGGGCGGGGGCGCGAACGGCGCCGCCCGAGGGAGCCCGCGTGGCCCCGGGCCTGAACCCGCAGCGTTTGTGAGGAGCGCCCCTTAGCGGGAGCCGGCCTGCGGGAGCCCGGTGCGCAGCGAACTAGGCCGGGCTCCCGCAGCTGGGTCACCCGCGGCCAAGGCGGCCGGAAGGCGTGGCCAAACAGTAACTATGGAAGGACAAAAAGCCATTTAAGGGCTGCAAAACGTGTCCGCCTGGTAAATGGGCGGGCTCTTAGCACGCCTTGAAGTTCCGCCCCGTCTGCAGTGGAACCTCGATCGCCAGGGCGACGCACCCCGGCCCCGCCCCGGCCTCTGGCTCCGTTCCCCCGACCGCGTCCACGGTCGGTCCGCGGGGCGTGCGCATAGTCGGCCGTCCTCAGGAGGCAGAACCCACCCAGCCCCTGCGCCGTGGCGCGGCCGGGTGCCCCAGCAGCCGGAGCGCGCGCTGGGAGGGCGCAGTGGATTCAGCCAAGAACCTGCCCAGGTGAAGGTTTCCCTGGCGTCTGTGGTGAACCAGTGCTGGAAAAAACAGCACCCGGGCCGGCACTTGGCGCCCCGTAATCCCAGGAGTTCCGGAGGCCGCGGCAGGAGGACCATTTCCAGGCCAGCCTTGCAATTTAGCGAGGCCCTGTCTCAAAATGAAAAATGTTTAAAAGGGCTGGGTGTGTAGCGCAGTGGTAAAGCGCCCCCGGGTTCATTCCCCAGTATAAACAAACAGAAAGAGAACAGCACCCTAACAAGGATTTCTGCATGATCAGAATACCTCTTTTAAAGTAAAATAGGTCTTACCAGGGTCTGGTTCTCTGGTAGTCGGATGTGCTGCTCACCTGTTGGACTGCCTGTTCTGTGGAAGGTGAGGGATCATGATGACGCTGGCTGGGGGGCGTCTGGCTGAGTCAGAACTTGCCTGGTTCTACCGTGAAGACTGGAGCCTTGTTTCTTTAGGATCTAAATGCTCCATTATGTTGGACGACACTTAAGGGAACAGTTTTTGCCTCAGGGCAGTTTGTATTTCCTCTGTTTGTTACCAGCTTTGTTGCTTCCTGAGTAATTAAATTTCTGCAGCGCAGAGAGATTGTTGTCTTAGGTACTTTGAGTATAAGTATCAAATCTTGAAAGTAACAGGTTGCAAACCTCGTTTTCTTTATCTAAGTAGATCTTATATTTTAATCCCTATGTCTAGCTTACTCTGCATGGTTTTTAATTCTTTGCCCTCCACTGCAGTAAAGGAGACTGGCTTTCAGTTCCTACATAATTTACTCCCATCTCTGATCTCTGGACACCAGTTTCTTTCTTTCTTTCTTGTTTTTTTTTTTTTTGAGAGAGAGAGAGAATTTTTAATATTTATTTTTCAGTTTTTCGGCGGACACATCTTTGTTTGTATGTGGTGCTGAGGATCGAACCCGGGCCGCACGCATGCCAGGCGAGCGCGCTATGGCCTGAGCCACATCCCCAGCCCCCAGTTTCTTTTTTTGATATTAGGGATTGAACCCAGGGTACTTAAACACCAAGCCACATCCCCTGCCCTTCTTAGATTTTGAGACAGGATCTCTAGAAGTTGCCTAGGGCCTCTCTAATTTGCTGAGGCTGGCTTTGAACTTGTGATCCCGCTGCCTCAGCTTGTCCAACAAATGGGATTACAAGTGTATGCCACTGTGCCTGGCTTAGGTACCAGTTTAAAAAGATTATAGATCTTAAGGATTAGGCACCACTCTTCCTTTCAAACCCAACTTAAAAACAGCTCTTAAATAAAGTGTTCTTTATTTACTCCGTGCCTGCTTATACTTTTATCCATGTAGTATCTATGTAGTAGTTCTTAAACTTGTCTGCACATTAAAATTAATCTGGAAGACTTTAAGAAGTACTCAGGGCTGCTGGGCAGGTGGTGCAAGCCTGCAATCCCAGAGACTCAGGAGGCTGAGGCAGGAGGATTGCATGTTCAAAGCCAAGTGCCCCTGGGTTTAATTTCCAGTACCCAAAAGTAAGTACTTAGGCCTGGGGAGGTGGCTTGGTATTAGAGCGCTTTCCTGGCATGCTTGAGGCTCTGAGTTCCAACTCTAGTACTAAAAAAAAAAAAAAAAAAAAGTAATACTGTAGTATTGGGGCTTGATATGATGGCACACACCTGTGATCAGAGCCACTAGGCTAAAGGATCACGACTTCAAGGCCCTCTGGGCAACTTAATGAAATCCTGTCTCAAAATTTAAAAAAAGGATGGGGATGTGGCACATTGGTAGAGCATTCTAGTATGGGGAGGAAAAAAGTACTAGGGCTCACTCCCAGAAGATTCCGAGATGATTGTTCTGGAGCGTAGCCTGCTTATCAGCATTCTTGAGGATGAGTCTTTTGAGTGGTGCAAGTTTGAGCACCACTGGTTTCATTATATGCATCAACTGCTTATAGTTCTGTTTTTTTTAATATATTTTTTTAGTTGTAGATGGGCACAATACCTTTATTTCATTTTTATGTGGTGCTGAGGATGGAACCCAGTGCTTCACACATGCCAGGACAGTGCTCTAGCACTGAGCCATAGCCACAGCCCAATATTCAACCGAGTGTTTTCATGCTCTGTTTTAAGTTAATACCCTCAGTTTTTTGAAGTAGGTGTTTTTATCATCCCCATTTTACAGATGTGGAAATTCAGGCTCAATAAAGCAGATTGATGTCTTCAGGCCATAGGCCTGTGTGTAGAGAATGTGTGTATCCTATGTGAGGAGGGTAATTTAAAATGTTGTTCTAGTAATTTTTGGTTGAAAATGAACAAAGAAATAGTCCTTTAGCATGGGGAGACAGTATTTATAAACAACAGTAATGGAACCACAGTCTCACAAATTTGCTCATGTTTTCATTAAGGAGAATGTTTTTCAAACCCCTACATGCCAATTCAGAATAAGCATCATAGGAAGGAAATGGAACTCAGGATAAACTACTACAGATATGGATTTTTTTTTTGTGTGTGTGTGTGTGTGTATGTGAGGTGCTGGTGATTGAACCCAGGGCCTTGTGCATGGGAGGCAAGCATTTTGCCAACTTAGCTATATCCCCAGCCCCCTACAGGTATGGATATTCTGAGGTTTAAAGACTTTTTTAGTAATAGAGAAAATAAAAGACTTTTTTAGTAATAGAGAAAAGTGGGGTAGGACTTTAAGAAGCATGTAGTTCATAACTAAACTTCCCTCTTTGCTGTTTTCTGGCACCTTCTTTATTGTCATGTAAGCCAGAGTACCTGCTGGTCCTGAGTCAATTCTTCCTCTCTCTGGAAACTCACTACCTCCTGCTGCGTATTTTTATTATTTTTTTTAAATTAAGAGATAGGGTCTGACTATGTTGCCCAGGCTGGTCTCAAACTCCTGGGCTCAAGTGATCTTCCCATCTCAGAATCCTGAGTAGCTGGGAATACAGGTGCATACTACCATGCCTATTGATGTTTTATGGCACTGGAAATTGAACCTCATGAAGCAAACCCTGTACCACTTAGCTACATTCTCAGCCCTGTTTTTTTTTTTTTTTTTAGTTGTAGTTGAACACACCAGTTTAACATCAGAAAGTTTTATTTATTTATTTTTATGTGGTGCTAAGGATTCAACCCCGAGCCTCACAATGCTAGGCAAGTGCCCTATCGCGGAGCCACAACCCCAGCCCAGCCCTTTTGTTTTATAGAAGAAGAAATTGAGGCTCAGAGGAGTAAAGTGACTTGTCTGATATCACACAGCAGTATAAGCATCATAAGTACTGTTAATCAACCTCCCAATAAATAGATTAAGCAAAGAGAGATGACATTTTTTTGGGAAGGGGTACCATGGATCGAATCAAAGGGCACTCAACCACTGAGCCACATCCCCAGCCCTATTTTGTATTTTATTTACAGGCAGGACTAAAAAGTAGGTTTTCACACTCCTTGTCCAGTGTTCTGATGGGATCAAATATTATTTCTTCATTCATTGAATTAATTATATTGTATACCCTTTATTTTTGTTCATGGGGAGGAATACATTGATTTATTACAGTATTTTTTTTGTTGTTGTTGTTGTTGTTGTTTAACTTTTGGGACATTAAAGATATGTTAAAACACATAAATAGGGCTGCCCAGCTGTAGAGCACTTGCCTAGTATGTGTGAGGCTCTGGGTTCCATCCCCAGCACCTTCAGGAGCAGGTGATTTTCTGATGTTAAACTGGTATTTCCCTCCAGGATAAACCCTACTTGGGTCTGATAGATCCTCCTTTTTGTGTATTGCTGGGTTTGGTTTGCTGATTTGTCTAGCATCTGTAATTCATAAGTGACACTGCCTTTAATTTTCCTTTCTGGTGTGTCCCCCAGCTTTTGCTATCAAATTCACTTAGCTTCAAAATGAGCTGCAGTCTGTGCTTTCTTCCTGTCCCAGGAGTTGTTCACTAAGGTTCCAGCTCTTCTGTGACTGGTGAAATCTTCTGGAGCCCTTTGGGCTTGAGCTTTTATAAGAATGGGCCATTTTTAGCCTCTTGATTTTGGATGGCGGTTAGAATTACTAAACTGGCAGGTAAGGGTGAAGCTTTGCACAATGACTTAAGAAATCTGAGGAAGGGGATTGGGGTTTTGGCTAAGTGGCAGAGCGCTTGCCTAGCATGTGTGAGGCACTGGGTTCAATTGTCAGCACCACATACAAATAAATAAAGGTTCATCAACAAAATATTAAAAAAAAAAATCTGAGGAAGCCTTTTCTTCACTCCTGAAAACCACATCTGTAGTTTGTGGCTAAAACTTCATAGGAGACACTTGTCCAATGGTAGCTGGTGTTTCCTGCACAAGTTGTTCTTGAGGTTCAGGGGTATAGTCGAAAAATAAGTGCATGGTATCTCACAATTGGCTGTGTAGGCAGGACTGTCATCCTGCCGCCCCCCACCCCACCCCCCGCCCATAGATGGCAAGAGGGAAAAGCAGGCTGGCACACAGTGAAGATACCTGAACCGGGGCTGGGGATGTGGCTCAAGCAGTAGCGCGCTCGCCTGGCATGCGTGCGGCCCGGGTTCGATCCTCAGCACCACATACAAACAAAGATGTTGTGTCTGCCGATAACTAAAAAATAAATATTAAAAATTCTCTCTCTATATCTCTCTCTCCCTCTCTCTTTAAAAAAAAAAATGGTGTAGGAATAACACGAGCATGGAGAATAATAAACTCTTGTCCTTCACCCAAGCTATACACAGAAAAAAAAATGTTTAAAAAAAAAAAGATACCTGAACCTTTGTTGTGGTGCCAGGTAGTGCAACTGAGCCTTTGTTGTGGTGCCGGTTACTACAACTCCGGAGGATGCATTGGGAGCTCACTATGTCTGCAACTGAGACTGGGCCTCTAGCCTTGACCCAGCTCTGAGAGGAGTGGGGTTTGGGCAAGCCCACAGGAATTGATGGAATGAAGTCATTGAACAGCTCTGGGGTGTGGGCCTTTAACTAGGACTTGGATCCAGAGCGGGTGGAAAAGAGACTGTTGAGTAAGTCCTTAAAGG